CGGGCGGTTCGCCCGGCCACGCGGCGGTTAGCCCGTTTGTTAGATATATAGACTAAACTATATAGAACTATATAGACTAAGATATATAGAACAATAGACTAAAAGGTGTTTTAGTCTATTGTTCTGAGTAATCCGGAATAGAATCCATCCCGAGAATTTTTTGTGGACAGTCTATTTCAGATGTGTTGAGCTCCAGTTCTCGCCATCCAGCCGCTCTCATTGTAAGCCGAATTCACATGGATATTTTATTTATTTGTCTTTTATTGTTTTTCCTATGGGAACTAAGAAGGACTCACCAGTGGGCGAATGTATAAAACCATTGAACACTGATAGTTCAACGGTTTCATCCATTGAATTACCAGTGTTAGATGCGGTATTCGCGATGCACCGATTGGTGATTCGCCGGTGGGTAGCGAATAGAGTTTTTCGGATTTTTTTACGTGTCTAGCACCTAAATTGAAGCCAATTTTATGTAAAGGTCCTGCCGGAAACGTTTCCTTAATTTAATTAAACCATCGATCCATCAACTAAGAGCCTTTTTTTTTTAATCAAACTCATTGTGGGTTCGGTTAGGCCCAGGCCAGGTCGAGTGTTGTTGGCGGGTCCGCCATGTCTAGATGGACCACCCTCCGAAAAATTCATGGAATTTTTCGACCTAATCGAATTCGTTCCTGGGTCATCCAGAGAGATAAGTTACCACTTTAGCCGCCCTGCAAAATAGCAACTCTAGTAAAAGGCCTCTAGTAAAAGGCCTCTAATAAAAGGTCCACAGGGCAGAAAGAGACAAAAATTTAATAAGTGTTATTTAATAAAATACATATATCTTTGTTTTTTCAAACTGAAATTTAAAATTTGTTTTTATAGTACTGCAGTCTTATGATATTTAATCGTGATAATTGTTTTTATTTTTTGATCTTTTTAATGTATGTATTTAAATTTAAATTATCATAAATATCTAAACAACAAGAAATGAATTTATTTACTGAAATAATGCTTTTAAATAATGATAAACATTTTATATTTTAAATTATTTTGATTTCTTAGATAGCTTCTACGTCTTAGGAACGTCACAGGAAATAGAATGGCGTCACCTTACCTGTTGCAGGTATTTCTGACGTCACATGACCTGCACGTCACCTCAGAAACACGTGCTTTTGTTTACAATATATTTGACTATTATATTCTGTAAATTAATTAACAAAGTTGAATGAAAGTGTGAAAAATTACACATACCAATGAATAACAGATATATAAAAACACAAATTAATACAAAAACTAACAAAATAATAAAAATTTTAAATAAGTGACTTTATACATTGCATTTACAATTAAAAAAAAAACAATTATCAGAAATCATGAAAACTATAACGTAAATATGTAATAAACTACATAAATTTGTGATATCACAAAAACTAGCACAAAAAGTAAAGAAAAAGACAGAAAAAGGAACATTTCTGTCATTTACTCCACTACTAACATGACCTTGAATTAATTAATAACCTTGGGGACAATAAAAGAACTTTTTCCATATTCATCGTAGATTCTGTCGAGCTTATAATAGGGCCTCGACTAGTATAGGACAGGCCCTACACAGGGCCGGATCATCGCATAGACAAATGAGACAAATGTCTAGGGCCCTGCTTTTAGAAGGGCCCGGTCAAACTCTATTTTGAAAAGATTTGCAAATAAGATAGTTTACTTTTCTGATGGACAACTGTATAATACTAGTAAAACTGGCAAAATATTATATTACTTAAATATTAACCAAAAAGGTTAAATTAAACAAGTAAAACGGCAAAACCGTATTTGGGACACGACTATGTCTCGGAGACACTACTAAGCAGAATCACTTTGACGCTCAAAGCTGATCTCCTTCTCATTCTCCAATCTTTGGTATCACTGCTTTTGGGCGCGATCGTTCAAACTTCGCCGGCCAAGACCACGAGATCGTCCACGATGCATTTTCGGTGAAATTAACCTTTCCAATTTCAAAATTTCTCTGTTGCAACCCGTCTACCCGGGTTGAATTTTTGTCGATGCCTAACAAAATTTCCCGTTTTTGAAAAAAATAATCATGGCTATTGTATCGTCTGAAATTATTATTTTTTTATTTTGCACAAACAATATAAAGTTTAACCCGATTATAACGTCATCGGATGTAACGACAACTCTAATATAACGTCAAATTTTTATCGGTCCTACGATTTTACTATACTAGATAGTGTTAAAAAAACCTACTTGTAACGACATAAAACCCTGTTTTAATGTCATATTTGAAGCACTCCCAAATTTACAAAATTAGATTACAAATTTTATTTAACAAAAAAAAAATACTACGTGCTCAGTCCTAGGATCAGAGTTCACTTCCTAGAACGACTGTGGGTGGTACTCTCACCACCTGACTTCGGTTTGCCTGTTTGTAGAGAGAGTCGCCATTTTGTATTTTACTTTGATTCAGTTCTCAGTCCCCTGAGTAGGCTACCTACAAGTCTGGTTTTTTTTATGCGCGCATGATTTGGGCACATGATGCTCTGTGCCAAATTGTAACTCCTGACATGTACTCTTTCATACCTCTAAATTGGTAACACAGCAGGCAGTACGATTTTATAAACAAGACACAGTCTTGTTGAAAATTAATATTTTAAGGTAATATTGTTATTGTATAACAACTTTTGTTAGGCATTTAATAAAATAAATTTCAATTTTTTAAATTTATAAACAAACTGTTCAAACTTTTCTAGAAAACTAAAATTTATTGTTGTGTATTAAATATTTTTTATTAATAAAAATTTAACATTTGCTTTAGTTTTTTACATTATTTAGTTTTGTTTTATTTATTATTTTATATTTTTTCTGTGCTCTAATTCTTGTGAGAGGGGGAGAAGGCCCGGTAAGAAAAAAATGTCTAGGGCCCCAAAGTGGGTTAATCCGGCCCTGGCCCTACATATTCAGGATCGACTGCTAACGAAAGATTCCTCAAGAGTTGTTTTCTGGGGTTCGATCCCGGTTCCCCAGAGCGATAGGACGACGTAATAATTGCCCTGACCAGTAATAATAAGTCAACTATTCGTCTGCTGTATCTTCCTTGCAGCAGCCCTTGTTACGTTGCATGGTAACTTTTGGGAGGAAAGCGGCAGCTATGAGAGGGATCAAGTACAATTCTTAAAGATTTGCCACAAAAAATGGCGGAGGCATTGGTCCATATAGATGCAATTATTACTATAGTTGAAGATTTGTTCGAATTGTCAGATGACGAACAAAATACACATGCCGCCCAGATTCAATCACGGGTCCTCTAAAGCAGCGGTCGGCAACCATTCTCGCCTCACGGACTACTAAAGTCGCAATTTTGAATCCTAAGGATCATTATCATAAATTTTTTAAACGATACAAAATCTGTAGAATAATGATCACAAAAGTTCAATTTTATTATATTAATATGAAATTCGCTTGTTTAATTATAACAAATTAATGCAAGCCTAAAGTTCATTGCTGCTTGTTTGAAACAAGTNATCATAAATTTTTTAAACGATACAAAATCTGTAGAATAATGATCACAAAAGTTCAATTTTATTATATTAATATGAAATTCGCTTGTTTAATTATAACAAATTAATGCAAGCCTAAAGTTCATTGCTGCTTGTTTGAAACAAGTTTATGGATTCTTCGCTCTTCTCCACGAAGGACGACAATCGCACTCACAATATTGTTTATTGTTCATTATTTATTTATTTTTTTTTCTCTTTCCGCTCTGTGGGCACTAAGAGGGCCTCTTATAGCAGGCCCGTTATGGGTTCGGCCAGGCCCACAATGGGTCGACCGGGTGGTGAGGTACGGGGCCCGACATATCCGAACGGACCATCCCCGAAAAATTGCTGGGGATTCCTTGACCGGTCCCGATTCATTATTTATTGATAACAGTCACTTCGTTTTTGGTTTTAAATTCGAATAAAAAACCCCAATGAGTGAAAAAAGCAACTAAGCATTTTGCATTTCTTTCGTAATACTTCGCGTAACCTTCGGTTGATCAATATTCAAATTTCTCCACGGACCATCCAAATTTTCTCGCGGACCACCGGTTGCCGACTATTGCTGTAAAGCGCTAGACATACGCTTTAATCGCCTCGGCTATCTGGCCATCCGAATATAATTGCACCATCTTGGTATTGCCGAATCCCTTCCATGTGTAGATTTTCAGCTGCCGTTGCCCGTTGATACCCAACGAGCAGCCACTACAGCGAACATATTACGTGGCTGACTGCCAACTACGCGGATCACGCGGATCAAGCAGGAAAACGGCAATTTAGAAGAAACGGCACTTACGGCAGACAGACCAATTGGACTTACTGAAACTGCTTGGACGATGGCATACATGCTATAAATGATGCTCTATTACAAATCAATAAACTTTATTAATAATATGGAACAGCGGTTTCCATAATATAAGGACGAAAGTCCTTATACTTTATGAACATCTAGGTTGGACTTTAGACTGTGTACCTCGACTAAAAACTGAGAAAAATTACTTTTTGCACAGTTTTTTGCTCCGATTACGAATACGCGGGTCACTTTTTGGTGCATTCAAGCCGTTTTGCAGATATTGCGCTACAAAGTTGCGCTTTGCCCGTATAAAACTCCACAGACAATGGCGCCTCCACAGATAGTGGCGGGCGCCCTGGCACTTTTTAATTTCAGATTACTCCCCTGCTATGAAGTATTTTCTCTGTAACTTTTAGTTTTGCTTTTTTATAATTATTTATGACGATGACCACCAACCTGGCTAAACCTTGTTCGCTTATATTTGTTTACCTTCTGCTGAGGTCTGGCTGAACTGAAAGCCTTATTTGTTTTTTCAGAAAATTTGTAAATAAATGAATAGTTTTCATGAAATTTTTACTACGGAAAGAATGCAATTTAATTTAGCTCATTTACCTGATCCAAAAGAAGCACAGGCTGAAGCAAAGAGGAAGATATTTTTTATTATTTATTTTTTAACTTTTCTTCTGCAACAAATAATACATTCCTAACCTCATGATGATATTTCAGAGATATCTAAAAAGGAATTTCTTGTTTTCTATTTGTTACTTTCTGTTGTAATGTTTTCATTATTTACATTATCAGATGATGACTCGACATCTTCGTTATAAATTGCAAGAGATGGACTACTTTTTAAAACTCTCTCCGCCCTGTGAGCACTAATAGGGCTTTTTTTAAGCAAGATTATTACGGGTTTTTCGATCCACCCGAGAGATGACGGATGAATCGAAAAACCCTAGGAATTTTTTGAGGCGTGATCCGTCCGGATGCGATCCCGGATTCCTCAGAGCAGTGGCTGCTACCTCGGCCATACGGTTGTCCCTTCTCCACATCTTAGATTTAAACGAATCCCACCTTCCCCATAAATCGCTGACGGAATACATTTAAACGGTTCCAAAAAATTATATTTAAGTTCTTTTGTTTGTTTGTTTAAGGAACGCTATATGCCGAAGATAGATGCCTCCCGGGAGGACTTTCCATGAGAAGCTGGCCCCTATTTAGGTGTTACAAACATTACTAAAACCTGAAAAACTCCATGTGGCTAGACCGTTGAACCCACGACCAACTATCAGTATTGTAGGTTTATATACACATTGCATTGGTGGGCATATTCAGGTTTGAAATGAAATTCAATTTTAATTAATACAGATATTATTTTATTACCTAATTAACACGAATAAATGTATCTACAACCCTCAAAATATTTATGTCATAAAGTTACATGTCCAGATATGTCGGGCCCCGTCCCTCACAACCCGGCTGCCCCATTATAGGCCTGGTCGAATCCATAATTGCTAAAAAGCCTTCTGTGTGCCCACAGGATGGAAAAATTTTTTTAAAAATGATCAAATATGTATATGTCAATTTTCTAGAATTATTTAATGGATTGGATTGAATTGATGGGATAAGGCAACGCAACACAAGGGCCATTTGCCAAGGAGTGCCTACCGGAAAGATTGTGGGAAAGTGGCTCTTGTTTAGGTGTTAGGCAAGTAAAAATACTCGGAAAATCACCCAGAAAACGCGTTGAGTCGCAGAACCGTGACATGTGACATAGTTTTATCTACTCGGCCAGATCAGAAGGACTAAAGTGACCCGAAATGGCCTAAATAGGGCACGCAGTCGCTCTCTAAGGCCCAGTTTTATTAATTATTATAAAATTAGAATCATATGATAATTAATAAATACATTTTTAAACATTAAATAATTACATCCTCAGACACAAAAAAGAAATTCTTTTGGTTCCACAAAAAAGAAATCCGGGTTAGTACTTGCATTACATACGAACACAGTATCTCAAGTTTAATCACTAAATAATTCTGAATGCAAAATGGGCATCAATTAGCTAAATTAATTACATTAGACAGGAAATAATAAATATATTTTAAAGTAACTCGACACTAACGAAATCAAATTATTCACGTCTGAAACGAAACTATCGTTTCATATTTACAGGAATTTAAAATACAAGATTTTAAAACTTGTTTAATATAAAAATTACCGTTGAAAGTAATTATAGATACGAATGAGAAGTCACGAAACATTTCGTGTCTAACCACGGGTCAATGTTGTCTTTTGTTTATATTAAGTTACTATAGGAACATTGTCTCCAAGACATCTGGGCAATGTTAATGATGCGCAAAACATTCAAGCAGGAATTTCCACAGTGTTTAATTATCAAAGAAACAAAATTATTCAAGTAAGTCGTTAATTTATCGTTATGCCAATCTCATATCTTTATGAATAATCCTAAATTTCAATATTTAAGAGTGTAACTGATAAGACAATGGGTTGCAACGCTACCAAAGATTTGAATCCAAATGCTGCAAGAGGCTATCTATTGGAAAATTTCAGTAGGCACAGAGGAGGAATCAATTGCATGAGCGTAAATGAAGATAAAACCATGTTAGTAACCGGTGGAGAAGATTATACGGCAAAATTATGGACTGTGGATCCTGTAGCTTACTTGGGTACTCTTGAAGGTCACAGTGGTTATGTCCTGTGCTGCGTGTTTCATGGAATCTACGTATTCACGGGATCTGCTGATAAAACGGTGAGGAAGTGGAATGTAAAAAATAGACAGTGTATATTCATATATGAGGGACACGAGATGACTGTCACTCGTATTGTGTGCACCCCTTGCGAAATTTTAATCTCTACATCTCAAGATGGCACGGCTCGTGCTTGGGATGCTCTGGCAGATAGCGGAACTGTAATAAAAAAGGCATGCTTACAAGTGTTTAAGGTGGATTTTTATATATCTATATAGCAAGCATTAAGCAAATTAATATATTTTTAATGCTTATTTTGTATTCTTATTGATATAGGGTCATCTAAAATCTATTTACTCCATAATTTTTATACCAGATGAAGAAAACCCATTAATGGGTAAAACTATATATGACGGTGATATAGTTATTACTGGTTCTACAGATTTTACGGCAAGATCCTGGTCATTAAAAACTGGAGAAAAACTAAAGGTATGATCTTTATAAAATGTTACTACAGAAACTTTGTGTTAGAGAATCTGATAGACTCTTAATAGATTTTTGGTAGCCATCGGAAGAATAAACATAAGGGGCCAGTTAACTGTATGGCTGTCGACGGAGAAGCAAAAAAACTATTTACTGGTTCTGCAGATTCGACAATTAAATGCTGGGATATTGAAACAGCAGAGTGTTTAAGAGAACTGAAAGGGCATACAGCCGCAGTTATGCATCTTCTGGTAAATGAAAACCAAAATATTATATTCTATATCATTAACAGCCAGAAATAATACAATAAATTTATAATTTTTAGGTTCACAATCGAATTTTATATTCAGCCGGTGTAGATAAATTAGCAATGGCTTGGATTATAGAAATAGGAGAGATTTCCAAGATATATCATGGCAACGGTGAAACTATTAGTTGTTTGAAGTATCACAATGGATATGGTAAGATAATATAAAAAGTCTCAGTTTTAATTTTACATTGTCATGATTTTATTTAAATCTTTTTAAGTTTACACGGCCTGTACTCAAGTAAGAATGTACAAAGCTAAGACTAAAGAATGCAAAAGAGTGTTTAAAGGTCATAGTCAAACTATAACTGCCATGGAAGTAAGTATAAACAAAGAAAAATTAATTAGAAAATTGACATCAAATATTTATTATTATTTTGATTAGGTAACAGAAGATAAATTATTCACCGTATCTTCTGATGGATCACTCAGAATATGGGATACGACGGGTGTTCTGGATGAAGATGTTACATATGAAGAACAGTTATCAGCAATTGAAGCTAAAGAAAATGGCATGCAACCACTTCAGAAACCACCCAATGAGAATGATTCACGATTAGAAGATTTCGCATAATGTATAACACTGAATTGTAAACAATGTCAAAGATTTCTTTAATCACTCAAAACATTTTGATTGATTTGTGTGCAAACTTTTTATAAGAAATTTCTGCATGATTTGTGATGTGTGTGCATTAAATTCATGCATTATTAAACAAATTATATGGTAAACCATGTGAAGAAATAAATTATACAAATTTTAAATAGCATTTATTATAGAAAAAAACCAATTTTAAGCTCAAAACTGGGTATTTAATAATGATATAAATGTTATTTAAAACTTGTAAATTGCATCTGTGTGTTTTTGAAGTTTATACATATATATGTATATTTTTATTTTATTATGTATCAATAAAAAACATATTTTGGTGAAAAGGTTTGGTTTGATGAGACTCTGCAATGCAACACTTGGGAGATCTGCTAAGGAAGGATGTTTTCCAAGAGAACTTTCTATGGGAAAGTGGTCTCTATTTAGGTGTTAGACATGAAGAAGTTCTGGGAAAACTTCACACCATCTATTGATTAGGCATGAGTGCAGGAACAGAAACAATCATCTGTAATGGCCATATTCACAACTGAAGATGGAGTAACAGTTAAAAGTCAACTAATAAGTGTTTACATACTAAAAGTGAAGTGAATGGTAATGGTTAACTTCTAACCCTAGCTCTTGATTTTTGATTGTGAATACAGATATAAAAATGACATTAGGATAATTATTAGCTTATATAATAGTATAATATAGTATTTACAGAATGGAAAAATTCAATATTAAACAAAGATAAACTACTACTTCCTCCAAAAAAATTATTGCCTCTACCATTATCTATCAAGAGGATTCTAGACATCTTTTATCTTTTGAGTGATTTTTAATACTGTTTCTATGCAGAAGGAAGACATTTGTTGCCATAACTCTCACATAATCATTAGAGCACTGTACAATAAATTAAGCAGAAACACATCTGCACATGAAGACCTTTTAGATATAGGTTTACTTGCTAGATATGATTAATTACTACTAGTTTTAAATAGACAAATAAAGCAATTGTAAAACTAAGTCAGAGGTGGCCAACAGTTTTTGCCCCCGGGCCGAATTGGAAAGAAAACTTTTTTAACGGGCCAAACTAGAGGTTGTCCTAGGAAGATTTTGAGGTGGTGCAAGATCTCATTGTGATGTCACCCGTAGAGACTAAATTGTACATAGAGATTACAGATACGTTTTCCACATTATCATGCATTATCAACATTCTATGCTGTGCTGAAGACATTTCTAATGGAGCGTTAACTCTAATCGCAAAGTTACTTGTTGACCTTTTTTTTTAGCCGTTAGAATTTTTCGACAAGATATTCAGACTTAAGTAGCTAATATTGACAGATGACTCGCAGGCCACATAAATTCATTAGATGGGCCATATGTTGGCCATGCCTGCTCCAAGCCTTGGAATTTAAATTTACTTAAAGCAATTTCACATTACAGACTGGACAAGAATTTGATGTATGTATGTATGTATGTATGTATGTGTGTATATAATGTAGAGTATATATTAACTCTCCTCCTGATACATACACAAGGTGTATCAGGAGGAAAGATAAATACTGTACTTTGAAAGATAATTCTTCACAAGAAAAGTAAAAATGTCAATGAGAGAGTATGTAAATGAATTGGTTCTGAGGAAAATGCACAAACATCAGTAGACTACTGTGTTTGATTCTAACTCCTAGGTCTTTGGATCTAACTCCATCGGACTACTATGTATGGATTGCATGAAGGATGAAGTGTATCAAGAGACAATAGACTCACACAATCAACTTATTGTCCAAATAAGAAATACTATCAAAATTATTAAAAAAAATAGGGATGCACTTTGAAAAAGTGCAGACAGCTTGCTGATGTCAGCCGCTTTGAGAGCCTTCTTCAATGTTATCAGTCTATCTTATCATGGATCATTGTCAGATTCAATGAACTAAGTGCAACCATAACAGCCACATTAACACTCAACATGTCAAATGGTGAAATATTCATACTGCTGTATCTTTGTTAATATTAATAAATCACCAGATGTTCATATATATTTTTTTCATGTACTACACTTCTCAAAGTATTTACCATTACTTTTGATACATTAAAAATAACTGAAAAGTTTCAGATATCTTTACTGCTGTTGCATAACTTATATAAGCCACTAGTAAATTATAGACATTAAAACATCAATATCCCATAATTATAAACTAGATAATTATCTATGTAAATATTATAGAAAAATTTATTAATAAAATTTACTTGTGCAAAAAATAGTTTGTTTTCTAACCTATTTTTAATTGATTTTTTTACTTACATGAAGAGTGTAAAATTATTTAGAAATAAATTCTTGATATAACAACTGAAGAGTATATTAAATGAATATTATATATCAGATAATTACATCACTAAAAATTAATAAAGTTAAACCCACAATAACATCCACCTCCAAATAACCAATTTACTTTTCCAGCAGTTATATAACATGGGAAAGTATTGGAATTGTCAAATCTGAACCTCCAGATTTTTTGCAAATCTTGATGTTCAGGAGGTCATCTCAAGAAAGTTAAAAAAATTGGGAAAAAATTCCATGGATATGTATGTATATGTGTATGTTGGCAGCTATTTTGTTTAATTTCTTAGGATGGGGCAAAGATTAAGAAACAAAATTTAGCATGATAACTTGTACATAAGGGGTATTGATGCTATTAAATTTTGGTGGTTAAAGATTGGATAGGAATAGAGATATAGAGGAGGGGTTGTATCATATCTCAAGTGAGGTTAGACTTAATGAAAATATTACTTGTTATTGGCATTTACAATTTTTTTAAAAACTTGTCTCAAAATTAAGCCTTTTGCCTTTTTATAATGATCGTATTAAAGTTATTTTTTAATAAAATCTCATAATAGATGGTACCACACACAAATTTAACTTTGTGCTAATTTGTCTTGTGATTATTAAACAAAAATATTTTTTGACAGGAAAGTTAGCCAAATCATTGTTGGATTTTCTTATGTTGCCATCAGTGGCTGCTGTTCAGAGGTTTGACTGTATATAAATATTTTGGTAAAGAAAATAATAATATTAAAATGTCACTTATCTTCAAATATATTTTATTTACAAAACAGTTATTAAACATGATATATCAACATAAAATTTGAATGTCTTCGAAACAAATATCACAGTCATCACATAAACTGATTACAATTATTTAACATTTACCTATTGATAATTTTTTTATAACAAATCCAGGTAAAAGTGCAATAACAGCAATGACAGTAAGACTTAATAATTTACTTGGTGTAAATACTTCATTCAATGATTGGATTTTGGTCAAAATTACTCCTGTCTGCACACAAATGAAGTTATATGGCATAAGACCTAAATTAAGAGAAAAATTTATTTATTTAATGTTCGGAATAATAATGTTTCTATAATTTAAAAACTATTAACTTACCTATAAAAACTGACATGATAAAAAGATGTATTGGAATATTAACAACAGGCGAGGCCATATTTAAAAACCAATTGGGTGTCATTGGAAAGCAACGAAGAAAAAGTAATAGGAATGGTAGGTGCATTTCATGATTTTTGATCTGAAATATTCAAAGAAATAATGGAAACATTCAGAAATAAAAACAAAATATACATAAGAATATTTACAATGGGAAGTTTTTTGCTTTGAGAAGAGCAGCATTCTACAAAAGCTATAAATGTGGACAGCAAGACAAAACAATTCGCAATTCTCATTTCATCTTTGTTAGACTACTTTATTTATTAACATCTTTTTTTAATGAATTCTTTCCACCTTTTTGTAATCACAAAACAAATCTGGTGTCTCGGTTGACAGGTTTCAATGACTGATGAATGTTACTTTGAGGAAGCTTTCCGTTAAGCCATTGGGTTTTGCCATAGACAGGATGGCTACCATAAGATATTTTTTAATATATAGCATTGTCTAGATGAAGAAAATAGAAATGCTGGAGAAATCACTATGTTAAATCATGACTTTTGTCATATACTTTCTTCATTTGGGTTACTACAAAATCTCCAGCTGATGGAACCCCAGGCAGCTTTCCACATATCAAAAGTACCAGTGAATAGGTCTGTCATTGGAACACTTGTGCAGTTTTGCAGAAGTTGGGAAAAATTTTTAAGTTCCATTGTTACTGGATATAAAACCTGGGTTCATTGCTTCTAACTTGAAACCAAAAAAGAATCCACGACATAAACAAATCTGGCATTCCTTGTCAAGAGAGATTTGAAATGTCAGCAAATGCTGGAAAAGTTTTGGTGACTATACACCCATATACACATCCTATAATTAGTAAATCTGATAATTTTGGCGTCAATTGAGGCATACTTTTCTCTTGCATTATTTGCAACACCTGGTATGATACAACCTGCTTTCTTACCTCTCCCTTTGCAAGGATTGGGACATCAACTAAGTCAAATGGCAAAACTATACCACACCACTACATTATTCGCTATATAATTTGTTCGATTTCCTTTCAGGAATGTGACACAGATGTAGTCTGATCACCCCATCATGGCTGTTTGTTGAATTGCCACCAATATTCACTTGTATCATGCATACAACAATGTGAAAATGTTCTCATTTACAACTGTTTGTAATGCCTGTGAAAAATACCTGACAGACTTAACACTTTAGAATAACCTGACTTTTATACAACTTTAAAGAATTTTTATACGACTTTTAAGAAAGCCACAAAAGCCAGTGTATCAAGAAAAGCTAGAATAGCCCCAGTAAAATAAAAAATTTCAATAACAACAAATAATAAACACTGTATACTGAATTTATCCTTTTCATTCAGTATACAATTTGTATAAACTGTATACTGAATGAAAAGTATAAATAACACTGACAAAAATTCCAGCTTGTAGATCAAAAAGTGAAAGAAAAATGAACATTATCCCCAGCTGGGAGGGTGTTATTTAAAATTTATTATTTTTTTACATCCCAGTGAAACCATGTGATCGCTGACTGCCAATCAGTTGTCATTCTTTTCATATTTTAAATTATAACATTCCACTTCATGTTCCGTTTCAAACCCATTCTTTTAACCTGAAGATGGAAATTGAAAATGTTCATTCTCCTGTCACTTTTTGATCTACAAACTGGATTTTTGGTTTTGCAAATGACATTTATAAAAATAACAAAAACTAATTTTTAAAACAATATAGGTATTTATTTGTTTAAAATTAATAACTTTTAGAAATTAAGTAGTTTTAATTATTTTTTAAGATCACTTCATTTTTAATAAACAAGTTATACTCATCAAATAATCATGTGATCAAAACACCTTTAAGAATAAGATGTTTTGATTATATGATGAGAATGAAGGAAAATACACTACTAAAGAGGATGTATTGATATTAACTGCTATTGACAGGTAATATTATGGTAGACCAAGAGCTAGATATAAAAAATCCAAATAGTGAATATCAAATGTAGAGAAGGTTTAGTTGAAAAAGACTGAAAAGAAATATAAGGGCATAAAGTTTAACTTAATGTGTTTTTTTTTATAATTTAGTTTATAATTGTTTTTTATTTAATACAGAGATATTGTAATTAAGAATTATGAGAAAATTACAAAAATCCATTCATAAATTATATCATATACAGTAGAGCATCGATTATCCGAAACAATTCGGGACTGGGGTTGTTCGGATAACTGATCATTTACGAAAAATATATTAAACACAAAACTGTACTGTACTATATATAATTTGTATCACAGATCTTACAAACACATACCTTACATAATGTAATACATTAAAGTATGCCTACAGTTTAGGTTGGCAGGGAGAGGGGAGTACTACAACACCACAGCACTAGCATAAATTTAAATTTGCTGACTGGAACGCTTTCAATTAACTGATGTTTCAGTTGATCGGTATTTGAATAATCAATGCTCTACTGTATATATATTTAAATAATATAAAAATCTAACTAAAAATACTTATGAATGCAATGTTAGATCAACTAATTTTCATACAGGAGTTATTTTTGTGGTGACCTGATTTAAAAGTTTGTAATTTAAAATCCTAATAGCAACATAAACCACAACTATACCCAGCAGAAAACAATTAAATATGTAATCCAACACCTTGTTTTTCGCTGAGAGATTATTTTTAATTAAAACAAACGTTGTCGATCCAATGAATGGATCGAAAACGTTTGTTTTAATTAAAAATAATCTCTCAGCGAAAAATAAGGTGTTGGATTACATACCTAATAGCAACATCCGAATATAACAATATATGTTGAAAAATTATTATAAATCTAAACAAGGTAATTATAATAATTTCCCAGAAATCCAAAATCCCAAAAGGTATCCCTAAAAAAATCTAATTAATATAGTGAATTAATCAATGTACCTTTCACAATGAGTAAAGCTGAAGGAATATTAACATTTTCAACCTGGTCAATCAGTCACACTAAGGATTGGATTTAATTTTCCTGTCAAAACCTAAAGATAGCCCGTTAACTGAGTCAAAAATATTAGTATTCCCTCAAGTTCATCCACTGTTAAATGTGCATTATTAATTCATTAGATTAATTACAGTGGCTGGTTTGTCCTAGTCTCAATAATACATCACCTGAACAACATACACAATTTAGAATTATAGAAAAGTATATTTTTTAATTTAAAATAAAAACAGTCATATAAAACAATGATAATAACAGATATAATAATACTATACATAAACAATGATATGAAACTATGATAATAACAATAATACTATGCATTAAAATAACAGCAAAAAATGTTTCCATCAGAACTGTCTCTGATTTCAATATCATCCCAAAGAACTTTATTTTTCAATAGTATATTATAATTTTTATAAATAAATTTGTTGATAACTCTTTATTTCTAAATAGTTCATATATATATATATAATACTTTATATCTATATGAATTATTATATATATATAGTAATATTAAGTATAATAAGTTTTCATTTTTTTTTTTTCAGTGGCATAGCCTCTAAAGACAGGTTGTCTCTGCAGTGGAATCTAGTTGTTCCTGGTGATTGGACATGACGAAAAAGTAAAGACATTTTTAGTCTCTGTTATGTTTTATAATGACAATATCATTTAATATTCAGTAATAATATCAATGTTATTGTTATGATAAACTAAAAGTTGACTCAAAAATATGTAAGGTAGCCGACCCGGTGGAGATAGGGGCCCCACCCCCGGGTGGAGATAGGAAACCCACTCTACAGCACCTGTGTAAAGTTGCTGTCTCCTAGGTGGAATCTATTAATCCCGCGTCAGGATGAACCTAAGGGAAGGTTGTATGTGGGCGGTGATGGAGGAGGCAAATGATGACAAGTGTTTTACACAAAAAAGCCATTTATTTGTTAACATTTATGCTTACATCGACAATCGACAGTCCTTCACTAGGTTTTTCTCGTCAAAGATGTGAAGAGGTGAGAACTTCGGCGTCTGTCTGGCCCCAGGACAGACGAGATGAGGTCGCTGAGCAAGGCGGACAATCGGAAGGAGGAGGCGGCGGAGTCCAAAGTTCTTGGTGACGACACACCACAATATAAGTCACGACCTTTCGTGGAATATGGAGGAGAGCCCTTTCCGACCTTAAATTTCGAATTTTTATATTTTTTTTCCTCCCAATATTCGGACTTCTGATTGGCCTCTCATTTCCTTTCTTGCTTCCCGATTGGTCTCTCTTTTGTTTTGGGGAAAACCGAGACTGACTCGGGTCATGGGAAAGGTCCGATTCCAGGTGTCTGCTCGACACCATTCTGTCAATTGTTCTTGGGGATTGTTGACAAAATTGCTAGACTCGCGCTCATAATTTAGCTCCGTAATGTGAGATTTCTGTCATCTGGGTACTCGAACGATCATATGAAATGATTTATCTCTCTTAAATCTTTCTCTCTTTTCTGAAATTGTTTCCCTAGATTGATTGTTTATGAGCGTTTGAGTCAAAGTTCTACCTGTTTATGATCACTTGTGTCTGACTTATAACTTTTCATTTTGACATTGACAGTTCATTTAATACATGTTGGAGTCATCCGGGACTTGTTGTTTACATTTTGTGCCACATTGTTTAAATTATGGGATTTTCCTCTCCCTCTCATATTTGATCTATCGTTATTATTTAATCATAAGAATACCACGATTTACATAATTTCAAACCTCGGTTGGGTCCTCACAAATAAAATTTGAGACCAAAAGATGAAAACAGAGAAAATATTTAATTGAAAACATTTGATATTGCTATTATATTTAAGTATTCATAATCTTTTTTTCCAAATAAAAAAATGTATTTTTTTTAGAGAAATGTCAAAACTTGATAATTAAATCCTAGAGTAATTTTGTTACTAACATGTAAAACCAAACAGAAGTAAATCTGTGTGTGTCTGCGAAAACAAATCAGTCTGAATTATTCTCTTTTACAAGGTTATTTGCTATTTATATACACTATATTAAAGTTTCATACTATGCAAGTCATTATCATCTGAATGATAAAGCAGAATAAATATTAAGGTTTATTGATTATTTAATGTTATGTGCTGGTTTGAATGGAACCGTAAACTGATAAAAAAAATCATATGATAATTGATATTCTCTTTGGATAGTTAGCAAGATTTTAATTTTGAGTCAAAAATTAAATTAATGCAGATAATGTTCTTTGCTAATAATGAAATCATCTGTAAGAAATCTAGGTTATACAGTGAATAAAGAATGCTATCAGTCAGTCTATAAAAAGAAATTAGTTACATTGTTGCTAAAATTCTTCTAATGTCAGTACAATTAGTTTCTTTTTATAGACTAATTGTTCACATTTAATTTATTATAAAAAAAACTTTTAGACTATTGATAAAAAGATTTCACTACAGTTTAAGTTTATTATATTTTAGTAGTATAGTCGTCCAAAAAGAATGCTACCATTTTAAATTATTGTAATTATGTTAATTATTATCCAAGATTGTCATAACATACATTAAAACATTTGAAAACTGTCCAAGTTTCATATTTGCCCATTACAATTTCTCAATGCATGCATCTTGTGTCACACATCACCCATCCAACATACTCAAATTCTTCCTATGCTTGCTATGGCATATCCATCTTCACTCTTCCCACAGCAACCACAATTCTACAACTCCTGCAATTGCTTGTGTCATGCAGTGATTCCAACTTTGCAAACTGCAAAACACAATACTTCTCTATTACGAAGTTTCCATTTTTATTTATGGTAGTTTCTAGAGATACTAGATGACAAGATGTCTGAATGCAGAAGGAAGACAAAACTCAGATGGTTGCTTTATTAATTGGTGTCTATTGCATATTTCTTGGATAATAATTAACATTATTACAATGATTTAAAATGGTAGTATTCATTTTAGAAGACCCTGTATTTTAAGGTAATTTTTGCAACTCATTTTTAAACTAATTATATTAGAAACTATTCAAATAAAATAGGTTAATTTGCCTTCTGTTGGAGAAATCGAATTCTTTCTGGAAAATAATATACAACATAGTCTTTCCCACAATGTTTAGACAACAAGAAACAAAACGTTGCACCAACAGCAGTCAATGTACATGTTAACAGGAAACCTTTCCATAGACCAAATAGAGCACCCGATAATATGTTCTGCAAAATAATAATAATGGTTACTAATATTTTATTTATTAATAGTAATTTATCCAGTATTGCTTGCCTGTTAACTGTCTTTAACAACTGTTAAAGTACGTTTGCTTATATAAATAAGCAGTAGCAAATAATATAAATACGTAAATATAATGGTCCCTTTGATATTGTTTTAATACTTCGGAAACTTCTCTTAATTCTTCTAGACTATTTGGATACTTTAAATTTTCACTAGAGATTTAATAATAATATAATATTAATTGTAAATAATAATAATTATAATTAAAATTTATAAATGATAATTATAATAAAAGCTAACATTAGACAAATCAAATTTCAGAAATCAGCAAATTATTTTAATTTCTAGTGCTTTCAACCTTAAAAAATCATCTTTACAATAAACAAAAATTTATTTTTCTTCGGCAATCTGTCTCAATACATTGTTTGGCATTGTCCTTACCACTTGGCCATTCTCATTGTGGTCCTGAACAAACCCACAATGAGTATAAACCATAAAAATTCACATGATCTTTTAAGCTCAAAAGTACTAGAAATTGCAATATTTCGCTGGTTTCAGAAAAGTGATCTGCATAATTTGAATTAATCAACTACTTAGGGAACTTTCTTCATGTATTTACCTAATAAAATTAAACATAATTAAAGCCAAACAACTTTCGAATTACGGGCTATAATATTATGTCTACATAATTGATTAAATACTAAATAGTTTGTCTAGAGGTAAGCAGTTGTGCTGCCATCTCATACTGGCTTTAATTATAAACTGGATTTGTGAATTAATGTTTATATATACAAAATTAAATACTTTAATGATTTATATAAGTACACGTATTACATTCCTGGCTCTGTTACATATAACAGAGGAAAAGTATGTCAATCGGTCAAAACATACCCATCAAGATTTTTACATTTTTGGACTCAGATGACCTTAAAATGTTGAGAAATGCAAAAAAATCATGGGGCTTTTACCTGTATGTATAGATGTTAGTGTGTCTGGCATGATTTTATTTGCCCATTTTGAAGCTTAATAACTCCTGTGCTTTTGTCAAAAATTTCTGAAATTTTGCAGGGAGATTTGTATATTAGGGAATTGATGTTATTAAATTTTGGTTGTTAAAGGTCAGCAAGGTGGGGAGATAAAGGAGGGATTGTGTGTCATATTTTGAGTAGGATTGGACTTAATGACAATTTTCCTCATTATTGGCATTAATGATTTTTATAAAACACATCCTTACCCTGAAAATTAAGCTTTTTATCATTTTATAATAAAAATATAAAAAGTTTTTAACAATAAAATATCATAACAGATTGCGCCACATACACAGTTTTAAATGTTACTGGAAAAGTTAAGCAACTTGCCGGATATTTTTCTTTTTTTTTTTTTTTTTTACAAATTTCTGATACTAATTTACAAATCAGTATCAAAAATTACAAACAAAATATTATGACACCTAAAATTACTAACAAAAAATAATAATAAATAAATTAATATTATACCTTCATTGTTAAGTCAACATATTTCACTTTAAACAGGTATAAAAATTAAATGTCAAACAAATAGTAAAGTAAGAGTTAAAAAAAACTTCAATTACTAAATTTTGTTTCTGACTATACTTATAACTTGGAAAGGTGTCTGTATTTGACTAAAGTATGATAAATTTGGTCATGTGCCAGCAACAGCCAACGGCAACTTTTGCAGTTGACCCCTCTCTCTATCTATACCGACTCTAAGTTCACATAAAAAAAAATACTATGTAACAGTAACAAATTTTGTTAGTTTAGCATTAATTACATAAGATTATTATGTCACTTATANAAATACAGAAAATTAGATTTATTAATACAATTATAATTTTATTTCATTTAATCACAAAATATTATCAAATGCATGTATTAAGGCAAACATGGTTGTTTGCCTTAATACACAAAATACAGAAAATTAGATTTATTAATACAATTATAATTTTATTTCATTTAATCACAAAATATTATCAAATGCATATATTAAGGCAAACATGGTTGTTTGTAATTACATAAGATTATTATGTCACTTATATAAAACAATAAAAATTGACAGTATATTAATAAAAATTACATATTTTCTCATTTTTTTTCAGTATCATTTTGCTCCATGCATCACACTTTCAAGACTATTTTATGATCACTGGAAAACTTTTCAGGAAAAAATGTACGAGACAAAATCATCTTATTTTTTGCATTTAATCTGAATCTAAATTAAAAAATACCCACATTCCATTTAAAAAGTTTGACTTCTGACCTGGATAGACTATTTCTGGCCAGTAACTTAAGTTAAGAAACTCACCGTTTGATAGAGCATACCTGATTTATTTACAAAATTTTTAGTATTTCCGACAAAACTCGCTTTCCTTCATTTTAAAAGGTGGGTATGGGTAGTCTGTGACACCTTGAATAATTTTATATCTTAGATTCTAACAGGGATGGGGAGTTGGCAGAAAAATACATGACTCTCGACTTGATATTTTTTAAAATCGAATCTAACTACTGGCTCCATAAAAAGATTCAACTCCTTGACTACCAACTCCAACTCCTTATCCCTGGATTCTAAACCAACAAATTATAGCTGAAACTTTTAACTAAATTTTAAATATATATTTCTTCATTTAGATCTTTTGTGCTCTTTTGGTTTGTGCTCTATAATTTAGCTCTTCTTATCAATACCATAAAGTAGCAAGTTATATAAAATAATAAAATTAAATATCACAAATATAAATATATTATAATTTTCAAAATTGCATTCTATCTTCTTTATTCATGAAAAAAGCTAAAAATTACAGTAAATATTTTACATCACTTCTAAAAGAATAGATAAGAATACAATTTTTTAAATACAGATTTTAGCACACAAACAAGTACAAAGTTAACTGAAAAATTATAATTAAATGTATATATCAATAGATTATATACATCAGATAAAATGGCAGAGATTACAGATTTTTAAGATATATCTGAAAGTTATTCTATAATAGATAAAATAGTAGTTCTGAATGACTAATTTGGACTCCCCAAATTTTAGATCTCCTCTAGATGACCAAAAAACTCAAAGGAACCATATCTCATCAAGGCTCACAAAGGGTCATAAGGCATGTTAAATGCACTATAGACCTAACAGAGTGTACAGTGCAACTATGATCAGGTCTCGATAGTAGTCAGTGCAATAGCATTTCTCATGTTTTACAAACTTTTAGCGATCTCTAGTAAAGTAGAAAACAGTCGATGTTTAACATTGTTTTGAGAAATAGTTTTGGATTTATTCACTTTTAAATTTTACCCAATTTTTTAGGGTCTTTAAAATTCAGCTAGGCCAATTTTGAGGCATACTACATCTTGCAAAGAATCACAGAGGTCATCAGTTCCTTTGACATTTTTACTCTTGTGGGCAAGGTCTACTGCTTCAATAAGGTCCCAACCATCTCTTTCAGGACTATCTGTACCCTATAATCTTTATTAATTAAGGGCTTGGGGCTTAAGGAGTTATATCCTGAGTGCACCATTTCTTTGGATTGAATTTGATTAATGGGATTGATTGATCTACCAAGATGGATATTTCTTAGGAGAACATTCAATGAGAAAATAACCTCTATTTTTTCTGCTAGACATGTGAAAAATACTCAGAAAATGCTAATTGGCATGGTGCAAACTCATAACGAAAAGCTAGCATTCAGCAGTTTTATCCACTCTGCCACTGGTTGGCCACACGGATCTCGTAACCACTCTTATTAGCATAACTGATTAAATAGGTAATCATATTTAATATATAAATTTTACAGATTATATGGTAAGATGTGAACTCTGAATGAGGAATTCCTCCCAGAATTGCCCTGTATAAACAAAAAATCAAAGGAACCAGCAACCCTTTGCAAGATATTCACCACCAAAAATCAGTTTTTACCATGTATCAGTATACTGTCTATTCTCCATGCTCCATGTTGGTCAAGGCAAATAATCACTTGCCTTGACTGATGCTCCACATGCAGTTGTGTGCTTTGATGCTTGCTATCGCTTGCATCGCAGCACTTCACACACCCTAAAACTATATAACAACAACTATTCCACAAACAGTGGGCTACTCAAAGTCAGCATAATCACATGGGCTAAATAGGTAACCCTACTTTTGTAAATACCGTATTTACTCGGATATAAGACAATCTCTTATATAGGATGAGGCAAGACTTTAGAGATCAAAATACAGAAAATTAGATTTATTAATACAATTATAATTTTATTTCATTTAATCACAAAATATTATCAAATGCATGTATTAAGGCAAACATGGTTGTTTGCCTTAATACATTGATAATATTTTGTGATTAAATGAAATAAAATTATAATTGTATTAATAAATCTAATTTTCTGTATTTTCTGTATTAAGGCAAACAACCATGTTTGCCTTAATACGTGATGAATGGAAAACAAAACCAAAGCATAGTGCACGTGATCAAGAAAAGTTTATTTTTAATGATTCATAATGTGCTAATATTCATTAAAAATAACAATTTAACTAATATAAAATAACTACGTTTATAATCATTGTTAAGTGACCTGTATTTCATTAATGTTTTTATAAATAACGAGAAACTATTTTCTGCAAACGAATAAGATGCAATGCGGTTTTTAATTAATGGATGTGGATTAAACCAATAAACAAAGAGGTGTGTGTCTAATTTGTTTACAGTAGATGCCAACTTATGATAGACAGTAGACCTATAATGATAGCATGAAGTATACACGGTTCACAGAAATTATTGAAAAAAATGCAAAGAATCCTTCGTTTACACGTATAGGACGATCTAGGTTAACCTCGTCTTATATGCAAGTAAATAAATATGGTATATGTAATAAACAAAAGCAGGGTTACCATAATAGTTGAAGGCAAAGTACAGACAGATTAGCATTAAAAGTACTTGAACAGTGAGATGAAATAAAAGGAATTTATTCATATTTTTCAATCTAGTAAATGTAGGCATAAAATATAAAGTTTCAATTTACACTTTCCTTTGGGGAACAATGCAATTTTAAACATAAAAAACTATTTTATAACTTAGACAACAAGTACTATTGAATTAAAAAACTATAATGAATATATGCATGTTCTCTAAGGGCTGTCCATAAATGACGTCCACACTGGAAGGGGGAGGGGGTTATAATAAATTGAGCAAAGTTGGACAAAGGGGAGGGAAGAAATCGAACTTCAATGGACATCCATTTTATTTCATATTATATTACAGCACACCTTTTTCACTAGCCTTCTTCAGGTTTAACATAATTTTGAACATGCAGGATGTTCAAAATTATGTTAAATCTGAAGAAGGCTATTCAAAATAGCTAAAAACATTAGTTCATTTAAATTAAAAATCTGCTAGAAAAAGTGAGAAATGTCTTTTTTAATACATCATCATCAAGAAGTTATAGCTTACAGCACATCAAATCATTTTATTTCATTAAATTATATACAGTTTATACATTTTATTATTCATAAAGTAATAAAGGTTTTGAGGGAAAGTTGAGTTTTGTTGGCCATCTGAAGATGAGAAGGGCTAAGAAGCTTAGACAAACTGTGACAATGGGAAAGTAAAAATTCCAAGAAAAACGCAGACATAACTTATGGACAGTCCCTAAGTGACATAACGTTACATTTGCTTATACAATGTTGCCACCTATCCAACAAATACAATCTGACAAAAATTTAGCACTTTTTGTCAGATTTAAATCTAAGTAGTTATGATTTAACTATTAACTGTGCAATCAGTTGAAAAGTACTAACATCTTGTTTGTTTTTTTAAGTATGGTATAAACACAGACAGAGCCTTCAGAGTACAGACTGTCCATAGTAAATATGGACATATGGTAACCCTAACAAAAGTAACTATATTTCTAAAAATTTAAAAAAAATAAAACAGTCTCAGAGTTAAAACACACAATCGGCATCAATTTTAAATTAACAAATTACTGTGGCTGTCCGCCATTTTGTATATACCTAGTTATAGTGTTTAGATTTAAGATTCTTTGTTCTTTTCCTTCTTTCTTCTTCTACTAATGACCATTTCCGGTCACCCGATCAGGAGCGGGAACTTCGTGGATCCTGATTGGTGGCTTACCGAGGTGAACAGGGTGCGGCCCTGCCCGTGGGGTGAGAAGGACACTTTTTGCCTGGACGACGAGGAGAAAGGGTTAAGAAAATCTCGTCGGGACATTAAGTCAGACCTAAGACAAAGAACCAGCCCAATGTGTGAAGTGTAGCGCAGTCCAGAGAGAAGAGAAGAGGACTAGCAACTTGATTGATGAGAGAGAATAGCCTACGAAAACTAAGTGCCAAGATTTATACCAGGAATGTTTAATATACCAAAGTCGGCCGAGAAAACCCCCGCAATTATCGGAAACCACCATCAGGACATCCTGAGCTAACTACCGGTAGACCTTTTCTGTCTTTCCTTCCCTTCCCTCTTATTAGTTTAATATTAGATTAAGTTAGATATAAGTTAATTATAAGTTAGTGAGTAGACCATATATTGTGATTCTTAAAAATTGTAAGATTTTGGACGAGAGTGGAGACCTATTGTATATTCGTGTTTTGTCTCTGACGGGCATCTCTAAAAGACCTGTAAATCCCTGTTATAATAAATTATTGTTTAATTGATATTCTTGGAACGATTTGTCTCGTACATCCGTAACCTTCACATTACAACATTAAACAGTAACAATACATCTTTCTATTGTTAACTGTTTAATGCAATGTTTCTCACCCTCTAATGAATTGTTGCCGCTTCAACATGGTATTGTCCCCTTGAATAAAACCGTTACATAGTATTGCCCCCTTCACTACAAAATTCCAATGCCAAGGGACAAGGCTAATGCCAAATTTGTACTGCATTAGACGAATAGACGAATTTGCACATTACGTGCAAATTAGAACTATTAGACGAATTTAGAACTAGACGAACTACTAGACGAATTTAGAACTAGACGAACTACTAGACGAATTTAGAACTAGACAAACTATTAGAACTATAAACGAATTTGCACATTACGTGCAAATTCGTCTATAGTTACTTTTCATAATTATTCCTTTTAACTAAATAACCAATCCCATTGTATAATTTACTGTTAAATTTTAAACAATAGTCTTAGCAGAGCAACATAACCCACAAGGCTCAATTCAAGCTCTGAACAAGATAGTTGAGACCTTATCAGAGCTGTAGAGCATACTCATAACAGCAAAAAAGTCAAAGGAACCATACTGCCACAAGCAACCTTCACAAGTTACAGCCCCCAAAATCAAGTCGAGCGAGATCACAAGTCACATTGCTCCCTAAGAACTATTTAGCCTATGCAACTATGCTAGCTTCGAGTAGCCCACTCAACTGTTCATGGAGTACTTAACATTATATGGTTTTAGGGAACATAGGGACTCACTCCCACCCGAGCGCTGAGATGCTTGCCATCACACACCAAAGTGCACAACTACATGCAAAGCATTGCTCACCTCGACGAAGCAGAGCACGGAAAATAGGCAGTATACCAATACATGTTAAAAACTGACCTTTGAAGGCAAATATCTTGTAAAGCAGCGGTCCCCAACCTTTTTATCGCCGCGGACCGGTCAACGTTTTTATATTTTACCGCGGCCCACTGAGGTGGGACGTTGATTGTTTATATTTTAGATTGATTTAATTTAATAATTTTAATTTAATTGTATTTAAACATGCCTTCAAAATAAAATATAGTTATGCCAAAAAATGAATATAATGCGATTTAACATTTTAACTCACTAGAACGTTAAATCAATGAGAACCCAGAGCTTGTTTCTTTGCCAAGAAGACGGTTCCATCTGGGGATAATAGGAGACAATGACACCCGAAGTGTGTTTCTTATGCCCAGTTTATTCCGTTGTTCCGTCGTCCATTAAAAGTCGCACAAACCCGAGAGAAATACACCATAGTAAATAAAATGGAAATGCCAGTAATTTAATGTTCCTTGGGTGGCCCGGTACCATTTGATCCACGGACCGGTACCGGTCCGCGGCCCGGGGGTTGGGGACCACTGTTGTAAAGGATATTGAACATACAGGTACAGTTCCTTTGACTTTTGTGCTCATACAGGAGGTCTACAATTCTTGAGAGGTATAAAACCCCTCATTCACAGCTTGAATCTTGCCGTAAAGGGTCACATTTAGAGGTATGGTTCCTTTAACCTTTTTTGCTCCTATGAGTATGGTCTACAGCTCTGATAAAGTCGTGTCTCATTCAGAGGTGTAACTGTACCATTATGGTTGATGTATTCAATGTGAATTGTTTTTTCTATGAATCAAATGTTATCTAATGTTGTATGTTTAATACTGTTTCGATGTAAAGCCATATAAATCTATCATCATTATCTAATAATAGAATAAAATTTTACTATTAATTTCATTTCAACTTACAAAGCTGGAGCCCAACTTGTCAAAAGATAAATCCATAGAGTTGCAGAAATAAATGCTGCTGGAATATATAATATTTTGCTCATGATGACCTCACTAGTATCATCTAAAAAGCATTAAACAATAACATTTCTTAAAATTGTTCCCGTAAGTTTTTATTGAATTAAAACATAAATACAGCTTACATCATTTTGAATTCCATACTTCCGTTTATTTTTATTTTAACGACAGGTGGCGGTTCTTATTCCGTTACTGTATTTTATTAATAAAACATTTATTATTATTATTTTTAGAAATTTTTATTTATTATCTGTTAAAAATTACTTTTATAATGTAGGTAGTATTTTTAAAAATTTCTTCGGGGGAAATTTATTAGACGGCCGGATAGCCGAGCGGTCAAAATGGCAATCTACCGCTCTGGGAGACCCGGAATCGAATTCAGTTGGGTCGAAAAATCTCCAGGAATTTTTCGGGGAGTGGTCCGTCCGGATATATCGGGCTCCGTGTCTCGCCACCCGGCCGCCCCATTACGGGCCTGGCCGAACTCATAACGGGCTTGCTAAAAGAAGATCTCTTAGTGCCCATATGGCGGAAAGAGTTAAGTAGAAAATTATTTGTTCACTGAGTAGTAAAGCTTTTGTTTTTAAACTCTTTTCTGCCCTGTGGGAGTAAGAGGTCTTTTTCCCCCTCCATACTCATTATGAGTTCGGTCAGACCCATAAAGATGGTTGGGGATGGGGCTAGACATATCAGAGATAGGACTATCCATAAAAAATTTCTCAAAAGCTGTTCGCTAGGATTCGATCCAGGATCCCCCTGATCGCTCGGTCAGTTTGCCCACCGTGTGTTGTTGATTAAGAACTTAAACTAATAGACATTTTCTAGGCCATTTCGATTTGTATATGGCTAAACACCAACCGTATGCCGTAAATCTATCGGGCTAGTTTTAAGGCTAATTACTAAATAAATTACGTAACCAATTTGGCTCTAGAAGTAAGCGTTAGGCGCCATCTCTTATTAATATATAATTATTAATATTAATAAGAGATGGCGCCTAACGCTTACCTCTAGAGCCAAATTGGTTACGTAATTTATTTAGTAATTAGCCTTAAAACTAGCCCGATAGATTTACGGCATACGGTTGGTGTTTAGCTATATTATATCGGGTTTAGCGATGTTTGTATAGATTTGTATATATCTGACACCCCCATTGTTGACCTGGACATATAAAGCACGTGAAAAATGCTCTCGGTGTGGGAAGTATAGCCGGATGGCCGAACTAAGGTTAAGATGAAAGTTTTCCGCTCCAGGGATTTGGGATCGTATCCGGACTAGTCAAAAACTCCAGGAATTTTTCGGGAATGATCAGCCGGAAATGTCGGGCCCCGTCTCTCATCATCCGGCCGCCCAATTCGAATGGACTTGCAAAAAATTTTTCTTAGTTTCCACAGGGCGGAGTTTTTAAAAAACTGTGGAAAGTGTTAAAGTAACGAGAAATGAATAGTGTACTGTATGTGTACTTCATTAATTAATAAATGCACTTACTTGTTAGTTAAATAAATAGTTTATGTAATGAATAAATTATTATTACATTGCATGTTTACTAAAATTAGCATGATTGAAGTGCTTACAATCGATTATTATATTGGAATTTTTGGAATTTTAGCCTTATATACAAACATACTATATTGGAATTTTTGGAATTTTAGCCTTATATATTTTACAAACATACGTTAGCAATACATGATCGATAATGAATGCCATAAGCATTATACTGCATGCATTCAAACAAATATGTTAATGCATTATCGATTAATATTTTTAATAACCAAATACGAGCACTTTCTTAGAAGTTTTAAGAGTAATGAACATTCTTTGTCTTAATCTAGTGCTAGTAATCTATTTATAAAAGTAGAAGACTGTATATGTAGATCCTGAATGAAAGTCTTTTTTGTAGATTCTTATTAAGACATTACTTAGATTGTTATGGTTCTATAGATTTTTATTTACTATAAATATTTAGGATTGGATTAAATTAATGGAATAAAACAACGGAACACTTGGTCTATCTTCTCCAGCAAACTCCACGTGGCTAGCTTTTCGGTAAGGCTTGAACTTGCGTCCAATTCTTCAGTGGTTTACCCACTCGGCCACCTATTAAAATTTCAAATAGCCAATTATGTCGTATTGTTTGGGATGCATTTTATACCCAAGTCAAGAAATTGCTAGAGTCTTCGGTATCGGGATGACATTAAGCTGCACTCATACAACATCTTCGCTTTTCTATCAACGTTTTATGCATGTATATCATATATCTCTGGTAGTTATATACTATCTTATTGCATTGTATCTTACCGCTACATTTATTTTTCCAGGCTGTATGCCTTGCGAATTTATTTTCAATTTTTTTGGAGAAGATATACTTATTATAAAAGCTATATTTTTGGATGCTTGTGTAGCTGCTACAGTTTGTTGTTCTGTAAGCGTATTTTATCGTAGAGGTAAATTTTGCAACTCTCTTCTTTCCAGTGATAACGAAGTAGAAATTCATTATGCCATTAAATTACAATATAAACTTTTATCTCTAAATACTTACGTTTTTGTTTTTTCAATAAGCACTTTAGCGATTGTATTCAATCTATTCGGGTACGATTTACTCCTTCGTGGAAAGTGGCAAACTGCTTTATGTATCTGCTTAAGTTTTGTTTCTCTTGCTTATTTTATTGGTCTCGTTTTATTTGGAGTACAGCTTGGTGTAACTGTTTTACTCTTAATTAAAAATAAGTTCGATAACTTAACAGAAGAAATTCAGAATACCACATTGGAAGCAGAAGATCTCGGAGAATTTCTTTTTTCAGTATACAGAAGACACGTAAAATACACCGAAATTTTGAAAGAATTTAATGAATGCAGCAGTATTATTTTTTCCTGTGGTTATGCTTTTTCCATTTCTTCTAGTTGTATCCTTCTATACATCATTATGTTTGTTGAAAAAAATTGGATCATGTCCATTTTTCTATTAATTAATCTTGCAAGTTTTTTCAGTATTTTTTTACTGTTAATATTCACTGCTGCCGAAGTTTGGTTATCTGTAAGTAACTGTTATTATCATTATTATTTTTAAATTATAAATTTATTAGAGAGGTTACGGCCGAGGTTTTCATCTCTCGAACGTGAACGCTGAACGTCGAGCCCCGTTATCTTGTAAGTGGCGCTCGACGTTCGACGTTCACGTTTGAGAGATGAAAACTTCGGCCGCAACCTCTCTATCATGTTAATAGTAGAAACGTTGCGAAGTAAATAGTAGAAAACTCTTATTCATCAGCTGTTCTATATACTGTAAATGACACATTTTTTTCATTTTTGACTCTTTCGTCTGGGAGTTGCTCACCAGTGGCCGAGTAGATAAAATTTACTGAAAACTGATTGGTCGTGGATCGTCATTTTTCTATTTTAAACTTAGCGCATATATATATATATATTGTATTTGGATGTTTGTCCTCGTCTCCTCGTTGGTCAACAAAACACTTTCACACTTTCATAATTTTCAGAATACGAGAAAAAAGTCCGAAAATCCTTACGTAGCCAACCTGTTAGTCAAGCGAGAATCAGCGGCCAACTATCAGTATTAATTTATTTTATCAACTCAGTCACCGGTAGAAAATGTCGAATATCGATGAGTTTAGTTTATAATTATTTAATATTTATAATAAATATTAGATTTATAAATATGAATAAATATTAGATTTATATCTTTCAGGCCAGAAAACCACTTAGGGAATTGCATAAATATTTTATAACTACTTGGAATGCTGAAGAGAATCTTCTGGTAAATATGAAGTGTACATTTTTTTAAATCAGAAATTTTATGTTTCTAATTAATATTAAAAATAAATATAATTGCTAAAAAGCTATTGTTTTTGCTTTAATAAATTATTTCCACTTAATAATAGATGACGAACATTCAGAAGAGATACACCGGTCCTCCCATAGGTGTTGTACTCTTTGATTTTATTATCAAACGAAATATCGTAAGTAAGGTAAGTAAGGTTTGATTTTATTTACATGTATTAATTCAAATAATTATTATACCAGTATTAAGATTGCCAAATTATGTCCTATGGAGAAAGGTTTTAGCCTATTGCTACGAAGAATCTAGATTCGATTTAATAATCTACTCATTCAGAGATTTTTTTTTAACTTTCTGTCCTATGAATATTAAGAGGACCTTAATGCGACCTTAATAGATCGGCCGGGTGGTGAGGTACGAGGCCGAACATATCTGGATAAACCAACTTTCGAAAAATTCCTGGGTTTTCGACCCTTTAGGATTCGATCCCGGGTCCTCCAGAGTAGTAGACTACCACATAGCCGCAATCCATCGGCCATATGTGGATTTGGGCAGGCTTACAATTAGGACGAGTGGATGGTATGGGATGGTGCCTGACATATCTGGGACAGAGCACATAAGAAAAATTCCAGGGGATTCTTGCCTTTGATTCTTCTCAGATTATTAAGAATCAAAGTAGAGTTCCAGTCCCTCGCCCATATATGATCGACACCATTGCGGGTCAGGCTCTTTCGTAAAGGGAAACTACTGTGTATATAACCTATAAAAATATCAAAGTTTCTTTAAAAAATGAATTGTTTAGTTTGAAACTGAAAATAAAATTTAACAATACTTTTAAACACCTTATTATAAGCAGCTTTATTTAAATAGTTTAATATTATCATTAGCTAAAAGTAATGATATAAAGATTCTTTTTTCATTATATATATATATATAAATTTGGGGCACTCAGCATGCCATTGGCTACATCTCTTAATGAATCTTGCCCATGATAGAGCATAATAAATTACATATTATTTACGGAAACTTATTAAAATTTTTAAAAGAACTAATAAGGAATTTAGACTTTATCAGTTCATTTCTTCTAGGTATGGAACGCTTTGTTGGATTTCTTTCTGTTTCTTCTGAAAGTAGAAAAAATGCGACGAGGACAAAACTGTCCAAAGGGAGGACTTCTTCAATCTTATTAAGCCTAGTAAATATAAATTGCACTTAATGTATTTATTTATTGTGTTTACATTGTTTTGAAACAACAAATGATGTAGTCATTAAATTTAAAAAGTTAAAAATTCATATATATTAATAATATTTAATTAACTCTTTCCACCCGCAAATACTAATACAGTAAATCCTTTTTTGGGGTATCCATACTGGTGGGACAACAATGGAAACGGTCGGGTAGTGAATTCAGTAATTTTATTTAAATTTTATAAATACAGTACTTTTCATTGAAAGTCGAGAAATGCAGAAAAATTCGAGGGGTGATTTCTGTATGTATGAATGTTAGTGTGTGTGGGGTGGGCACGATTTTGTCCATCCTCTTCGAAGCTAAATACTTTCTGTGTTTTTTGTCGAAAATTTCTGAAATTTTGTACGGAGGTTTGATTTTTAGAGATTGATGCTATTAAATTTTGGCAGTTAAAGGTCGCGAAGGTGTTGAAATAGTCGGCGATCACGTGTTATATCTCGAGAGAGATCGGACTTAACGAAGATTATTCGTTATTAGCATTTACGATGTTTTTTTGTATAAAACCAATCACTACCCTCAAAATCAAGGTTTTTGTCGTCTTATAATTAATTAATAATATAAAAACGGGCTTTTTTTATAACAAATAACGATAAATTAAATGTTATTTTTAAAATAACACACGGGAAAATTACACAACTCATTGTAGGAATTTCTTTTGGCTTTTTTGGGTTAAAAACGTCGAAATTGGCAAAAATCTCGGAGGGTCAAAGTTAATACGATTCCAATACTTTACCGCGTTATATACACAAGAAGCCGGGAAAGTAAGATGAAAGATTGACATCCTCCAAAATAGAAAACAAATACTAGAAAATTTTCCAACAAATACTAATTAAAATTAATTTTTTATTTATATTATGTCATCTATTTCTATACTATGTATGAATTATCGGCTACATAACATAGAAATTTTATTGAATTCGCATTAAAAATTTTTTTATCCGTTTATCTCGACTCCTTCCAAGATTAAATTCTGAGTGAGCCACTGGTTGTAGCTGTAATCCATAAATACAGTCAATAATTGAAGTTGATTGGTTCGAAAAATGTAAGAATAATTAAGGTAATTTTTTTCAATTTTTACTCAGTCGTTTTCTGTTGCAAGATAATAAATTCCGGGTCTTCAAATAAATCCTGGGGATACGTTTTAAAAAGTAAAACTCTAAATTTAATCGAGGAAATATGAGGAAGAGATATCCGATATCTCTTCAGTATTTTGTAATGTATAGATTCGTCGATCACGCTATCGCAACGTAAATATTTCTTAATTGACACAACATAGATATAGACGAATTGAGAAATTACAGACATTACAACAATAATTCCGACAGATACGCACTGTACTAGTAGTAGAGTTACATAACTTGCTTCGGTTTGGAAATCCATTTGATAATTTTGAATCGGTGATTACCCTATCGTTTAATAGAGAAACTAACCCATAACAGAATAAATATATGGATTTGATGGATCTAGCAATTGTAATTTTTTCTTCATTTTTTGGTTCTTTATGTTCTGTGGATATTAAGGTTTTCTTCACTCACCGTGGGTTCCAGACCCATAATGGCGGCAGCCGAGTGATGACGGACAGAGCCCCACATATTCAGGATAGACCACTCGAGAAAAATTCTTGGGGCATTCTTGGGTCTTTTCAAAGCACTAGACTAACATCTTAAAAATCTTGGCCATCCGGCATTAGCAATTATATTAACTGAAGTGCACAGTTTTGTGTACATTTATTGTACAGTAGACCCCTATAACACTGTTGATAATTCCGTGTTATATGAATTACATGTTGTACGAGTCACTTAGATTTTACAAATACGTGTACCGGGCTGTGAACGGCTCACGTATCTGTAAAATCTAAGTGACTCGTACAACATGGAATTCATATAACACGAAATTATCAACAGTGTTATAGGGAGGATCTATTGTATATATTTCGTGTCTGTCTTCTCGAGCGTGTTGCTTGATACAGCGGCTTTAATAAGTCTCGCTTATTCAGCAAGACGTATTTAAAGCCACTTTGCTAGGTAACGCGTAAATTGAGTTGTAAGGTAAAATTTTATTACGTTTTTATCTAGAAAACACCAATTAACCACTAATAAAATGCTTGTTCGGTGTAAAATTAATGCGATAAATTGTTCTGTTGACTTAAATCATTCTACCTTATTATTCACATTTAATCTTTTCATCAATTTGCATAACTTATTAAATATTATCTACAGCTAATATTGACAGACATGAACAAATAGAATAATATAGATAACATCGTTTTCAAACACTATTTATAATAATTGAAATTACAGCAGTTTTATTGCTGACAGAAAAATATTATATGTATTTTTTAATTTAAAAATTATTACTTTAGCTTTTATACAGAAATGTTTTTCTTTAGTAATGGCAACGCAACACTTGAGCGATCTGCCTTCCGGGAGGTCTTTTTAAGGCAAACTGTCCCCTATTTCGGCGTAACAGATGTGGAGAAAAACCGAGCGAGGCACGAACCCACGACTGAACTCCCAGTGTTTAGGGAAAGAAGCCACTAGTGGGCCACAGCCACACAGAAAGAAATAGGCCAGATATAACCTTTAAATCATAGTTCTTTTCGAGATATTTACTATGTAAATTTATAGTGTAATCGTAAAGTCTCTTTGCAGTGGGTTACGTGTGACTCGGACTAGTGGTGACGTCATAACTTACATAACTCTCGCACAGTCTGTCTGTGACATCATTACTTCTTTCCTGCAAGCTCCTGCCCGTTTATTCGCCCACTGCGAAACGACTGTAAAAGTGTGTATCTTAATGAAAATGCTTTTAATATTTTAGGAAACGACGAAAATTATAAATAAAAATTTATTTACATGATAAAAATAGTACAAAGGTTGTTTCGAAAAGTACAGAAAAATTCTCTTATTTGAACCTCGAATCAGAAAAAAAATGTGTTCTAGGCAGGAGGTATTTTAAATTATAGAATTTCCCAGAATAACGGAGCCGATGTGCTGAATCGTGACTGTTTTTATCACTCCGCCATCGTAGCTAAAAAATTCGAAAACTCAAACAACATGTCACATAGCGTCTACTTTTATGTTTGCCTTTTTAAAAATAATTTCATGTATTCATCAGAGATATTGAAAGCTTAGGGGCAGGAGGCTCCGATTAACTATATACGAACGTCCAATGCAAATCAGAAGTCCTGTTATTTCAATTCAAACATTTTTCCCCGAAAGTTGTTAGATAGATGACCGGCATGACTCTATTGTTAAAGGAAAAGTAAGATGTACAGTACAGTACAAGGGCAAGCCACTGCTAATTTGAGGTGAGAGCATATATATTTTAAATTAAATAAATTAAAAATTGCAGCCTGGCATTGTGACGGCCCAACATGGATGCGCCCAAGACTACAATGAAAGCCCATGGGTAGCGATGTAAGGTTCGCTCGACATATCCGGGACAGACTATCTCCCAAAAATTCCTGGACTTTTTCGACCGACTAGATTCAATCCCGAGTTCAGCAGAGTGGTAGGTTGATTGCAGAAAAGTTGATTGTAACTTCTTTAGTTGTGAATGCCATCTCCAGCAGATGGCATTGAAAAGTTAATGCTTTTTCTTTGGAAAAATTACTTTCCAAAAACTCTCAAAAATGGAAGTCGATAATACCGAACAGTGTTTTTTCGTTAGAATCCCCTTTGAGTCTTCTATTAACGTACGGTTCAGAATTTTGAAAATTGAGTTCAGTCATCTTCTACGAATTTTTAAAACCATAGAAAATTAACGAATTCGATTTTCAAATAATGTCACCACCTAATCACACCTTTCTCGGCATGACCGAATTCATAACGGACTTGCTTAAAAAGAAAGTTTTTTCTAATAAAAATTATTAATTTTTAAATAGTCCATATTTTTACCGCTTCTGTCAAGTGAGATTCGGGAATACGGAATCCAATAGATCGAATTTTTTATGACTCCCAAAAATTTTTTATGAGTGTAAAGTCCATATTTCGTCATTCAGTTGTCCCATTCTGGGCTTGGCCTAACCGCGATTGATTTGGAAGAAGTGTCCTCTTAGTGCTCATGTGAAAAAAAGAGTCAAAAGTTAAATACAGTATACAATTTCATTGTTCGGTTTTGGATAAAACAAATGTATTGATCATCCCGTCAACAGATTTTACCATTTTCCTCGAAGAATCACTCATATTAGTTGGAAGATAATGAGGTAATGCGTATCTCAATTTCTCCCAGAACCACCGTTCTCCCCATATTAAATATGTTTTGGTTTTTAGTAAAGTTTGAATATCTAATGGAAGCGTGTCGATCGGTGGCAAATTTCCTTTAATAATAATGATAATTCGTTCAATTCTATCCTCTAAAGATTGCAAATAAGCCATTTGCAATTCTGTTTCAAACCAGAAACTTTTAAGAAACTCCTCTGACATTATTAAAATAGTTTTCTTGCTATTTTTGACCGAATTTTCAATCTGGCAGAGGATAGGATAACCGGGAAGCCAATCCCTTTCGTGAATACACAATTTGAAAAATGGATATTTGTCCTCCAATTCGGAAATAAGAGAGAAGACACAGTCGCGATCATGATTCGAATACGAAATAAATGCATCGTACTCTTTGTCTTCATCTATACTCGATACAGTGAAACGAAATATTGAGGGATAACGCGAATATAGGAATGCTAATATTAGTTTCTTATGACGGTAATACAACACTGTACTCGAAATTATAACTAGACAGATGAAAGAAAGTGTTGTTGCAATGATAGCAACTTTCATCTTCGATTCATCTTCTTGTGGACAAAATGCATCAACGGGAACATCCTGAAGCACCGATAAAACTTTAGTATTATTATTATTTATAATTCTGCTACACAGAACGTCTTTAGACTTTGCGATCTTCTTTATATTATCAGTAAACCAGTATTTGAAGGAACGAAATGAACAATTACAAGTGAAACTGTTGTTCCGTATATCTAATTTGAAGATGGTTGCAGCCGTTACGTGTCTCAATAACGACTCTGGTATAAACTCGAGTTTGTTATATCTAAGTGAAAGCTTTTCTAATCCAAAAGGTATTATCCAATTCGTCCAGGGATTCAGATTATTATTATCTAAATTCAAATATGTGATGTTTTGCCATTCTGCTGTTTGTGGAATTTGAAAATCTGAAATCGAATTATTTGTCATGTGTACCACTGAAGTTTTGGGTGGCAAAATGACTGGAAAAGTGCGTAAATTTGCTGAAGTACAATTAACTAAAACTGTATTATCTTCATGTAGATAACAAAAACAACTTTGTGGACAACGTTCATAATAGGGACAGATGTGCAACAGATTGATATTCACTAGTTTTCTATCTTTCATAGTGTCGTGACATGTCAGATGATCAGCCTCAANATATATGTATATTATATTATATATTATAAAAATAACATAATATAATACATATTAATAATTGATAATAGCCATATTGTAATTAATGTTCTTATGATTAATACTGCATTTTGTTCTCTTATATTTTCATATGTAAAAAGTCAATAAAAAATAATTTAAAATTAAATTTCAAATATTATTATTTATTATTTTTTTTTTATTTTTCAGGAAAATCATGAGAAGTTTTCTGGCAATTATTTGGTTACTACATTTTTGTGGTATATTTTGCACAAATTGCATACACTTTTGGGAAAAATGGCAATCTTGTCCAATCATGACTCAGCTACCATTCACTTCGTTCCCTTGTTTTAAGGCCAATGATGGAACTTATCTACTGATCAATACCGAAATGGACATGGCAGATATGCAATGTGATTATAAGGCGGCTGATGTTGATTTTATCCAATGCTTGCAAATTGGAGAAATCACTGGCATAGACTTCAGCAATTGCATTTTTCCTACTACATTTCTGAAAGATTACATTTTCAAGTCAAAAATCTCTTTTTTCTCATTGACTTATAACAAGACAGATATAATCAATCATGATATTATTATCAATGAATTGGAATTTTTGAAAACAGTTTATATAGTGGGTGCTGTTACTTCCCTCTCGATCAACATAAAATTCGAAAACCTTCCGATGATGAATACAATATCATTATATCAGACTAACTTTTCCAATTTTACCTTTCATACACTTCCAGAATTACAAAAATTATCAATGGTTAATTGTTCCATAAGTCATTTATCTAGTTCTGTCTTTAGAAATTTATCTTCTTTGCTTTTACTTAATTTAGGTGAAAATCTTATGGAAGAGCTGCCAATTGATGTTTTCGAAGGATTAAACTCTTTGCAAATTCTCCATTTACATAGTAACAGATTTAAAATATTGAAAAATGAATGGTTTAAACCTTTAAAATCTTTAAGGCTCTTAAACTTGTTTTATAATCAATTAACCATGATAAGTGCTGAGTTAGTTCATTCCTTGCCGAATCTTGTGGCCTTAAACGCCAGCTATAATCCAATTTCAGAACTTTTAAATGATACCTTTCATAAAGCTCTATCTTTAGAAATAATAAGCATGGATAACTGCTCTCTTCAATGGCTTCCTTCTTCATTATTTCAAAATGCTCGATTTTTGAGTAATGTTTCTTTCGAAGATAATGAAATTTTAATGATACCATCAACTTTATTTAGCAGAAATTTGTTACTGGTGAGTATTTCTTTTGATAATAATAAGCTAAGTCAACTTCATGAAAATACATTCGCTAAGCTCAGTTCATTAAGCATATTGTTACTCGGAAGAAACAAAATCAGCAATCTCTCTTCGAAAATATTTTCTGATTTACACAATTTGATGGATTTAGATTTAAATTCTAACAAATTAAATAGTTTAGACAGTATTATTTTTCAAAATTTATCAAAATTGCAAAACTTAGATCTATCTCAAAATAATTTGATACTCTTTTCTGATGTTTATCCTTTCGGATACAGTCCATTTTTATCAATGATAAATTTATCTCGTAATAACTTTATGGAGTTTCCTATTTTAAACTGGAATTCTCGTAACTCTATACAGCTTGATATAAGTTACAATAATTTATCTGTTGTTACTTTAAGTATAATGAGTCACAAAAAGGCAAACGTTGACATGAGATTCAATCCAATTTCCATTATTTCAATCGAACAAATTTCGGATGAATCTAAGAAGGAACCTGTTGTTTATAATTTACAAAATTTTACTTTTGCTTGTGATTGTAAACTTCAAGGATTTCTTAAATTTCTTGAAAATCCTTTAAGCCAAACGGTTTTTCCAAACAGTAGGGTCATGTCATGTACATATCCAGAAGAATATAAAGATGTTATACTAACAGAAATTTCACCAATTTACTCAATTTGTCCTGTTAGTCTCGATTGTCCACAAAATTGTCAATGCTTCGAAAATGATTTAGAAGAAGTTATCGTGGATTGTCGAAAAAAAAATTTAAATGAGCCTCCAGAACAGCTTCCTCTTCGTTCTGTTACCATTTATCTAGATCAAAATAACTTAACTGAATTCAATATCAATTCTACATATTCGGAGAATGTTACAGAACTCCATCTCAGCAACAATTTTCTTACTTCCTTACAAAATTGGCATATACCAAATTTAAGGATACTCAAACTAAATGGCAATCAATTAGGTAAATTGCCCATATCACTAATGGATCATGTTCAAGAAACTAGCAATTTTGAAATTTACCTTGCAGATAATGCATGGTTATGCAATTGTGAAGCTACTTCTTTTAAACAGTGGTATACAAGAAACTTAGACAAAATCTTGGATTCGAATGTTACATATTGCAAGAGGAAAATTTCAAACAAGCCTACATTCTCTGAACAGCTAATTCGGGAAGTATCCATAGATTTGTTCTGTCCAAAAGCACCGAAATTGTTGACTGCTGAGATCATTGCCATTTCCTTAACTGTTATATCTATTTCTATGCTACTTCTATGTAGCGCAATTTGTTACTATCGTTTTAGTAAAATAATAATGGCATTTTTGTACAGTCGAAATTTATATTGTCGCTGTTGCGATCGCCATTTGAAAGAGGAAGAGAAAATGTATGATGCTTTCATATGTTATAGTTCTGCAGATCAAGATGTGATGCTTGAAATATTGCAAAATCTTGAGCCAACTTATCGTTTATGTGTTCATGAAAGAGATTGGGTTCCCGGTTATCCCATCAGTCATCAAATTGTACATTCTGTACAGAACAGTAGAAAGACTGTGATTCTTCTTTCTAAAGAATTTTTAGAAAGTATGTGGTTTCAAGTAGAATTTCGTACAGCTTATAACCAGATGATGGAAGATAAGAAACATCGGTTAATTCTAGTCATTATAGGAAATTTAGATAATGTAAATGAATTAGAATCGGATCTGCGATATTTATTATCGACTAAGACCTATCTTGAGTGGGGCAAAAAATGGTTTTGGGAAAAACTCCGCTATGCTTTGCGTCATCGTTGTAAGAAAGAAAAGAATTTTGAGAATATGGATCAACTGAAAATAAGTGAAGATATTCAAATGGATGTAAGCGTTTTGTAAACTGGTACAATTAAGATAATAGAGATTGGGTTCCCGGTATGGTAAAGATTGATTCCCGGAGATGATAAAGTGAGGATCCGGAGTGGTTCAGAAATTTTGATAAGTGGCTTGATCCAGATATATCGAGCATCCAGGCATATGGATATAATCATCCACATGCCTCATCAAGACAGCATGAAACATTCATCATTGTAGGCAGGCCAAACCTACCTTAGGTATGAGAAAGGACGGAGTGTTAAGCAAAAAAAAAGTAGTTGAGAAGCAATGTAAAAAATATTGTTTAATGTATACATTTTATATTATTTTATTAATAAATATCAAATTGTTGCCGTTAAATGTATATTATCATTGTAAACGTAGGTTTAATTTTATTTTTATTGAGTCTGAGTTTTTAAGCCAAGTTTGAGTATTTTACGTAGTACAGAATGTGATAATGATAGTAATTTTCTGATAATCAGATTAATCATTCAGAATCTAGTTTTGTAAATTTAACATTTGTTAAACTAAACTAAATTTAGTACTTATTAATTAAACTTCTGGAAACAATTCTAGTATTTAGTTTAATGGGATAGGCAAACGAAGACATGGCGATTCGAAAGAATATATGTCTCCTGCGAGAACTTTCTGTGAGAAACTGACTTTTATTTAGATATTAGACACGTGAAGAAACCCGTAAAACTCCACATCACCAGGCGTGAACCCACGACCAAATACCAGGGTTCAGTGTTCACTTAGAAAAAGGGGCACTAAGAGGGGCTCTTTTATCAAACCCATTATGGGTTCGGCCAGTCCCATAATGGCGCGGCCCGGACATATCCATAAGGACCACCACCCAAAAAAATTCCTGGGATTTTTTCGACTCGTCTGGATTCAATCACGGGTCTCTCAGAATTGTAGGCCGAGCGGTCAACTTGCCCCCTCAATATGGTGGACGATAGTGTCATCTTCATCATCCTCCATCACTAATCTCGAAAAAGCAATGCCATAAAAAGCGTCCTTTAAAAACCTTTTAAAATATATTAATACTGTATTATTTTCTTAACTTAAACATTAAGGATACGGCCATGCTAACGCGAAAATAATAGCGTGAAGTTTGTAGCGATATCGCTCTCATAAAGCGAAACCATGCACAAAAAGAAATAGAATTTCTAGCTCGCGAGACAGAAAATCTCGCTATCGCAGATATCTAGCATTGTTTGATTTTTATCGTGGTTTGAAATTCTCGCTTTATATCATCCTGGCGCATTAACTCTACCCTTTTTTCGGTGCGTAAACGATTCAAACGTGGCTTCTTCAGCGTATTTGGACGAGAAGTAAAATAATCAACATTATTTTAGAGAGAGAAGTAATTCAGTTACGACTTATCCTGAAGTATGGCAGAAATTTTAAGCGATTAACGCGATTAAAAATATCATCTAAATAGTAAACATCGTTGTTATACATTTTTATTCAGTACACTTTCGAGCGAAAGATTCACGCTATTGCACGACAATGCTGGAGAGAGCGAGAAACCGATAAACGCCATAATTTGACGTCATCATTTTGCTCGCTCTCTCGCGCCGGAAAATTCGATCGGTCACATCTGATGGCCGTAGCCATACTCTATTTAAAAAAATAAATAAATAAAATTTTCAAAAGGCGACTTTAATTAAATACCAGTTTGAATTTTTAATATATTAATTAATTAATTCTATATTAATAAGCTGTTAATAATCGAATATTTTGATATTTTATACTTACTATATTTAGGCTATTTTATTATTCGTTAAGCCGTCAGTGGCGTCCATGTTTTATCCGAGTGGATCGCGTGAAGACAGGTAACTGTCGTCTGTTTTTTTTTAATTCAATAAAATGCCTCCGAAAAAGTCTAAAAGTGAACCTTCTAAGAAGACCGAGCAAAAGAAGAAAGAAAAAGTTATCGAGGTGCGATTCAAATTCATTTTATTTACTTAAATTCAAAGTTTGTTTCACAATATTACGACAGACGTAAACGTATCATCATCCATTAGGGTCAATAAAATCCACGTTTCTCCATTGCCTCGGGCATAAATTCACTCTGTATTAGAATTTCTTCCTTTAAATACATTCCTAAAATATAATTTCTCAAGAATATTTTATTTAAATGTTTAATTATAGGATTTTTCTAATTAGATTTTATTTTCAAAGACTTCATATGTACAAAATCCTTATTTAATACTGACAATGAAAAGTAATTCAATTAATAAAATTTAATAATGGTTATCAGTTATATGTATTTGTATTTAATTAAATATTGATAAGACACTGTTAACATACTGTAATGGTAATTTGATAATTGTTGATGCTTATAGATAATTGTGATTCAAAATTATTGCATGAACATTGTGGGTTTGTGCATGGCCGACACGATGGCTTTATGAAGCTTTTTGGACTTTCTTTGCATGCTTAACCCCTAAATAGATGAAAACAGTGTTGCCAATCTTCTATCTTGAAAACTCCCAAAACACACCAGAAATTTCCCCTGAATAGTTTTGTTTTGGATGCAGTTTGTATCAAAAAAATATTAATATTTTGATTGCCCAGAACAACAAATTATTTACTTTATAGTGCTGATGGTGTGAGCACATTTGAGCAAAAGCATTGTGATGAAGTGATATACTCCAGATCTTGCTGAGATTCTCTTACAAGTAAAATTGCATGTAGTGTGGCTTTTGGAAGATCCTAATTGTCACTGAAACTTTGCTAATTGGTGTGAGCTGATTGGCATCACTGGATGCTATTTTCCATAGTTCTCTCAAGAGGCATCCCCCTTGGCATATCATCAAGTGTTTTATTTCCTTATTTCATTAACCAATTATATTATCACAATATTATTATTATAAAAAATTAATAAAATCTAATAGCATATTAATATTTGCTTAGTTCTGAATATCAATATGTTTTTATTATTTGATTGTAAATGTTTAATTTCATATAAATATTTCTCTTGTTATGATTAATTTATTATAGTACTTTTTTCTTTAGTACGAAGCTAAAACTAACAATATTTGCTGGATATAATCATTTACCTTTATAACCAATTAAAATGGAGTTTATTCGTCCAAGAAAAACCCTCTTTTAAGTGGTTATAAAAACACTGTTTTCTTGTTAAATCTTTGTTTTGATGATATTAAAAGGGTTTTTCTCCATGCCATAGATTCAGTTAAACTTATGGAATGGCTGAATGATTAGAGATAGAGCTTAACATACTAAAGTTAAATCATTCATGAAAATTTCTGAGGATGCAACATGACTGAAAAATGTATACAATAAGTTTATTCATCTCTTTGGAAGAAAAATCACTCAATTAATTGGGAAATTAAACTCTTTCCCTTGCAATATCCCAATCAAAGTTGCTAGGATAGATAGTTTGTGACCAATCTTGAACATGGACTCAAACCTTGGTCCTTTACTTGATTATTCTATTTATTTCATTCATTTAGTAAAAATATAAAAAATTCTATTATTTAGTAGAACTTTGATTTAATATCACCATTTGTTCACCTTTGAAATTAGCATTAAATTTAATTTTGCACCAAACTGAAGCACCTCAAACAATGAGAATTTTACATATGACTTTAAGAGTTTGAACATTGATTTGTTAAATAACCATCACATCTAATAAAGTTAGTCCAATTCCATTTTTTGATATAAATTACTTCCAAAATCATTTAATTTCATTGTTAGATCAAATCTTAAGAATACTAATCATATGTAACAATTACTAATCAAACATAAAATAATTTAATTTAAAATACAGTTCCATGTTTCAAAGATACCACTGATTCTAAGGTTTGGAATCAATTTTAAGATTTTTTAATTATTCAATTTAATTAAGTTTTGTTAAGTAACAACATGTTATGAAAACAATACAAACATCATAATGTCTTGTAAAGCATAATATCTGGCAGCTCTGTTTTTATGTTCTTAGTATATATGTTACCGCTAAAGCTCGAAACTCGTTAATCTGCAGATTAACTAGCGTGATTCGTTAAAGTTGTGAAAATTGTTCCATTTCTCAAATTACCTAGATAATGTGTGGAGTATCTAGGTAATCCGCACATTACCTACTAGGCACTCGGTAAAGTGAAAATAAGATCTTTGCCACAAATAAATGTACCACAAATAGGTGTGCTTGTCGCAGAAACCAATTGCTATGAAATTCAAAGTGTCACCAATCTTTAGACTGCACAATTGGATAATGTTATCTATGGTGGGTAAAATGGCGGCTCGTCTCTGATTCCAGCAAAGAGAGGAAAAGAAACAGTGGGGACACACGTTCAAACCTAACCTAACCTATTCTAATAATTTTTTTGGTAATAATTACAGTAATTTATTAAAATAGGTTAGGTTAGGACAGAATGTGCATCCCCACTGTTTCCTTTCTTCTGTTTGCTGGAATCAGAGACAAGCTGCCATTTTACTCACCATAGGTAACATTAACTGCACAATTACATAATGCGATCACCAGAAAAAGTATGATAACTTTATTATTTTTCGTTTCCGGTCCAAAAGTAAGGTATCATTGAAGTCGTCTTGGTCCCCTCAGTTCAGATATATACTCAAAGTCCCGAAATTCCCTAGGTGGTTATCTATATAATAATTTCCCTAATTGTATTAATATTTTAAATCGTTTGATTTTTTGTATGTTTTTTAATTGGTTGATGATTGATTCTATCAATTAATTTGTCGATTGTTTGACTGTATTAACTTGATTCTTTAGATATCAAAAATTAAATAAAGAGCATTATGTTATATATAAACATCAACTCACAGCTCGAGTAGATAATAACAACACCAAACGATCGCTTAATTATCGGGCTATAATATGGCTATTTTAAATGATTGGAACTAAGTAATTTGACAATTAGAGGTAGGCGTTAGGCGCCATCTCTTAATTAAATAAATAATAATTAAATAAATAAATTTAGAACATTCTGGAATAAAAGAACTGGCCCGGGACGGGGCTTGAACCCGCAACCTCCGCTTGCCGTGCGGTGCGCTTGCCAGTTACGCCACCCGGACCCCGAGCGAGTCTTCGCTTCCAGAAGTATATAGATTTAGATATAACCTTACTTGGTTAAATACATCACCGACTGGGGACGACTCCTTCGCCCACGACCCTAACGGTACTCAGCCGGCTAACGTAACACCCGGCGAGGTATATATATATATAAACATCAACTCACAGCCCGAGTAGATAATAACAACACCAAACGATCGCCTAATTATCGGGCTATAATATGGCTATTTTAAATGATTGGAACTAAGTAATTTGACAATTAGAGGTAGGCGTTAGGCGCCATCTCT